TGTTAGAAGTTAATAATAGGGGAACAGGGTTGTGGGGAATATGGAAACTGTCTATACTATTTTCACAATTGTTCTCTGAATCATAAAAGAGTTCTAAAATTAAATTCATTTTTAACATTTGTCAGAGTTTTACCAGTTGGGAGAACTACTACTTATTAATGGTAAATAACAATTTCAAAGTAAAATAGATAAGGTTTAGTTATGCTAGAATATTAGGATTATCTTTGTTTTAAAAATGAAATCCATATATGAATCAGCAGTCCTCTTCATTTAACTTATGTTATTTTTAATTTAAAGAACTAAGAATAAATAGAATTAAATATTTATTTTTAAAAGTATGAGAGTAAAGAGAACTGATGGGAATAGGTTTCTACACATCACTCAAAATAGTAAAACATCAATCCCAGTGGTCCATGATAAGTTACATATGTTATTGCAATGCCAAAGAAACCACAAAGAAAACCATACAAAGCAGTATATGAAAAAACACTGTAAATAAGTCAAGATATAATCATAAGAGATAAACCATATCCTGGGCCATAAAACAAATTTTAATGAATTCAAAATAATTGAAATCATACAGAATATCTTTTCTGACCATAAAGTAATCAAACTAAATGTTAATAACAGCAAGACAACATGATAATTTCTAAATACTTGAAAATTAAACCACACACTTCTGAATAATCCATGGGTCAAAGAGGAAGTATTAAAGGAAATTGTTAAAAGTACATAGAATGAAAATAAAACTGCAACTTAACAAATTTTGTACAGTGCAGCTAAAGCCATACTGAGAGAAAAATTTACAGCAATAAATGCTTACATCTAAAAAGAGGGCAAGATCTCAGAGCAAGTAAGTTTCTACCTCTAGAAACTGGAAAAGTAAGCAAAATAAGCAAGCAGAAGGAGGAAATGATAGAAGAACAGAAATCAGTGAAATTGAAAACAGAAAAATCATAGAGATCAGTGAAACAAAAAGCTGGTTCTTTTTAAAAACAATAAAATTGATAAACTTCTAGAAAGACTAACAAAAATGAAATCACCAATATTAAGAATAAAATAGGAAATATCACTGTATATAATGCTTCCCTTAAAAGGATAATGAAATACTGTGAACAAACTATATGCTCAAAATCAAAATCTTAGAAGAAATGGACCAGTTCCTCAAAAATCACAAATTACCAAAAGACAACCAAGATGAAATAGTTTTGTAGCCCTTAAGGAAATTGAATCTTTAAAAGTTTCCCAAAAGAGAAATCTTCAAGCCCAGATGGTTTCACTGGAGAATTCTAGCAAATGTTTAAAGAATGAACACCAATTTAGCACATTCTTTTATCAGAAAGTAGAAGAGGAAGGGCCACTACCTAACTCATGTTATGAAATTAGTATTGACTGGACACCAAACAAACACTGAAGACTAGTATCTCTCATGAACTTAGAGACAGAAGTCCTCAAAAAAAATCAGCATATCTAATCCAACATATATTAAAGGAATTACAGTGACCAAATGGGATTCATTTCAGGTATGCAAGTTTGGCTCAAAATTTAGAAATTAATGCAATCCACCATTGGATTGGAGAAATATCATATGATCATGTTAATTGATAGAGAAGAAGCATTTGACAAAATTCAATACCCATTCATGATTAAAACCCTCAGTGAACTAGGAAAAGGGAAGAACTTCCTCAACTTGATAAAGACCACCTACAACTAACATTCTACTTAACAATGAAAGATTGAATACTTTCCTTCCAAGATCAAGAACACTACTTTTATTCAAAATACTATTAGAAGATTAAGCCTTGCAATAAGACAAAAAGAGAAAGAGAGAAGAAAGGAAGAAAGAAAGATTGATTGTAGAGGAAGAAAAAATTGCCCATAACAAAGTTTATCATTTTAAATTTACAGTTCAGTGGTATTAAGTACATTCACATTATTGTATAATCATTACCACCACACCCATCCATCTCCAGAGAGATTTTATCATTCCATACTCAGACTCTGTCCACAGTAAACAATAACTCCTCATTTCTTCCTCCCCCAGCCACTCGTATAACCACTCTTCTACTTTCTGTCTCTATGAATTTGACCATTCTAATAACTGAAATTTTTAAATTTTATTTATTTATTTTAGAGAGAAGGGGGGAGGGGCAGAGGGAGAGGGAGGGAATCCCAAGCAGACTCCCTGCTGAGCACGGAGCCGGATGCGGGGCTCAATCTCACAACCCTGAGATCATGACCTGACCCGAAATCAAAAGTTAGACAGCTAACAAACTGAGCCACCCAGGCGCCCCTCAAATAACTGATTTTTGACAAAAGTACAAAAGCAATTCAATGGATGAAAGACAGCTTTTTAAACAAATGATAAATGGTGCTCTAGCAGTTGGACATCTATAGACCAAAAAAAAAAAAAAAAAAAAACCCACAATGGATCACAGATTTAAATGTAAAATGTAAAACTATAAAAGTTTTAGAAAATAACAAAGGATTTCTCCTTTTGATGTCTGTGATGACATCAAAAGCATGATCCAGGGGTGGCTGGGTGGTTCAGTCAGTTGAGTGACCAACTCTTGATTTCAGCTCAGGTCATGATCTTGGGGTCCTGAGTTCAAGCCCTGTGTTGGGCTCCATACTCAGTGGGGAGTCTGCTTAAGATTCTTTCCCTCTGCCCCTTCCTCCATGCTTTCTCTCTTTCTCTAAAATAAATAAATAAATCTTTTTTTAAAAAAACCATGATCCACAAGAGGTAAAAATTGATAAATTGTGTATTATCAAGATTGAAAAGTTATACTGACTCAATGAAAAGGATGAAAAGACAAATACACTTACAAACCTCATATCCAGCAAATGACGAGTATCTAGAATATATGAAGAAAACTCAATATTCAACAATAAGAAAAAAGCAATCCAATTTAAAAATGAGCAAGGGGTGCCTGGGTGGCTCAGTCAGTTAATTGTCTTCCTTCGGCTCAGGTCATGATCCCAGAGTCCTGGGATGGAGCCCTGCATCAGGCTCCTTGTTCAGCAGGGAGCCTGCTTCTCCCTCTCCCTCTCCCTCTGCCCGCCACTCCCTCTGCTTGTGCTTTCTCTCTCTCTCTCTGTCAAATAAACAAAATCTTATAAAAATAAAATTAAATGAAAAATAAAGATGAGCAAAAGACATGAACATACATTTCACTACAGAGGATATACAGATACATACGCACATGAAAAGATGTTCAGTATCTTTAACCATTAGGGAAATGCAAAGTCACAGTGGCATCATTAAACATCTTTGAGAATGGCTAATATAAATAATAGTGATGACACCAAATACTGGCAAAGATACAGAGATCTTGGGATCACTCATACATTGGTGGTGGGTATAGTCATTATGTAAAACGGTTTGGCAGTTTCTCATAAAACTACGCAACTGCCATGCGACCCAGTTTTCACACTCTTGGGCATTTTTTTCTTTTAAGTAATGCCTGCACCCAGTGTGGGGCTTGAACTCAGAACTCTGAAATCAAGAGTCCCATGCTGCATGGACTGAGCTAGCCAGGTACCCCATGGGCATATATCCCAAAGAGATGAAGATTATATTCACACAAAAACCTGTATACAAATGCTTAAGCAACTTCATTTATAATAGTAAAATCTGGAAAAAAAAAAAACCCCAACAGATGTTCTCCAACAGGTAAATAACAAACTGGCACATCCATACCATGGTGTGCTACTCAGCAACAAAATGCAATACCTTGGATGAATCTCCAGCGATTTATGGTGATTGAAAAAAAAGCCAATATAAAAAGTTCTATACTCTGTGTTTCCATTTATATAACATTTTTGAAACAACAAACTTCTAGAAAATGTGGAATAGAGTAGAGGTTACCAGGGATAAGGGATGGAGGTAGGAAGGAGGACAGAGAGGGAGGTGAGTGGGCTATAAAAGGGAAACAAGGGGGATCTATTGGTGAGGGAAATGTTCTGTATCTTGACTGAATCAATGTTGACATTCTGGTTGTGACAGCACACTAGAACTTTGCAAGATCTATCTGCAATTTCTTAAAACTGAGCAAATCTGCAATGATCTCAAAATGTTTAATTAAACAAACAAAATAGGTCACACATCTTTCTTCCTCACAAAGAGCTGAGGTCAGTCTTTTTGAAGTAACTAAGCTGAAAGTTATTCCTCAGGTGGGATGAAGATCAGCCACTCCTCTACCGCAACATTCTAGACTGGGGTGGAAAAATGCAATTGGGCAATTATTTTCTCTGACTTGCTTTCACTATAGAGCAGAAACATGCAATGAAGTCAACATTAAGCAGTTTGAAAAGCTTTAGGCAAGTTTAGAAACATGGCATGGACAGAGGAGAGAATCCCATTCAATTTTTGGCAAAAAAAGAAATGAAACCTGACTTCTTTTGAACTGAGAGTAATGTGACCAATGACAAGGCAATATTAAACATCCAGCTGCTCCTTCACCAGCCTTGGTGTGTCTGTAACAGTCAGCTCTTAAATGAAGCTGACAGTTGTGGATAGAATGGGCTCCAGGTTGCTGTAGGGCACAGCAGCATCCATCTTGGTTTGGAATAGTCCCATCGTCACTGTGCCTTGGATGCTTGGCTGTGTCAAACAAATAAAATTGTTTTTGTTTTTTTTTTAAAGATTTTTATTTATTTATTTGAGACAGAGAGAATGAGAGAGACAGAGACTGTGCACATGAGAGGGGAGAGGGTCAGAGGGAGAAGCAGACTCCCCACCGAGCAGGGAGCCCGATGCAGGACTCGATCCAGGGACGCCAGGATCATGACCCGAGCCGAAGGCAGTCGCTCAACCAACTGAGCCACCCAGGCGCCCCAATAAAATTGTTTTTTATCATAACTTTAATCATAATAATGATTTGTGGGTATATTTCATTCAAGGCAGAAGGAATTGTTTGTTGCCATGGTTATTTAATCTGCATATTTACCTCAGATCATGGAAGAAGGTTAAATTACATTGCTTTCTTTTTTTTCAGTCATGGTTCATCAGAATGCATTAAGATTCAGAATCAACGGTTATATGAAATTGGAGGAAATATAGGTAAGTATTCTCTAATGATTTTTACTCCTAAATTCTGATCACTCTAAAAAAAAAATTGCTATTGTTGTAAAAGCATATTTTACAAGTTTCTTAAATATAAATTCAACATCAGTAAGTTTCTGAATTTTTAATCTCTTGTGAGAACAGTTGTATGAATTTCCTAAAATACTTTCAAAATTTAATTGTAAATATTTTAGTTGATATGGAGTAGACTTTTGAGTCTTTCAAGTGTGCCTCAGGGTTGGAAAGTCTTTCCTGGAGATCCCTGCAAAACAGAGAACATCATGGAACGTTGACATTGTGACACCTTTTTTGTTTAACTTCCCTGGTTTCACCCTCAGCCCAGGTTCATTCTTCCTATTTCCTGAGGGGGAACAAAAAGGAATCAAATGGAAATTGCCTCTGCTTGCGTCTGTATCCTGCCTTCCCCTTCAGGTCTTCTGCTTGCCCTCCACACAGTCTGGATGAACCACCCCAACTCCCACTTAATGACCAGCACCTCCACATGTGCCTCACTTCGTGTTCCCGCCTGCCACTCAGGGCCTTGCTCCAGCCCCCCATTCTCTCCTGCACCATCAGCTTTTCACTCCCAACTGCATCATTTCCAACTACATCAACATTTTTGGTAATTTCTGTCATCTTCACAAAACTCTCTCTTGACACCCTTCAAGCTTACTTCGTTCCTGTGTTCTGCTTTACAGCAAAAACTCCTTGAATCCATTTTCTGTCCTCCAATTTTTTCCTCTTGTTCTCTCTTGAAACCACTCCAGTCAAGCATTACCCTGTAACACTTCACCAAAATTGCTCTTGTTGAGGCCACCAGAGAACTCTTATGTTGTGAAATCCAGTCATTCGTTCTGTCTTGATAACTGCCTGAGTTGATCTTTCCCTTCTTTGAAAACATACTTTTCACCTGGTTTCAAGGACAACCTAAGCTTCTGGGTTTTGTTCCACTTCACTGGCAGCTCCTGAGTCTCTTTTGCCTGCTACTTCTCATCCTCTCAACCTTCAACATGGAAAACTGTGGGGTCAAGCCTCAGAACTCTTTCTGCAAGTAACTTCCTTGGTGAGCTCAGTCCATCTCATTGCTTTAAATATACCTGAATGCAGATGCCTCTCAAATTATATCGAGACTTCCACTTGCAGCACCAACCTTGCAGATCCAGTCGCCGGGCACATTTGCCTTGGAGCCTTTGCATTTACTCTTTTTCCCAGAATGCTCTCCTTTAGAGTGTTCACTTCTCACTCCCTCACCTCTTGCAGGTGTTTGCCACGGTGTCACCTTCTCAAAGAGACCTTCCAGGATCTCACCTTCTCTAGGTGTGCCTTCCCAGCTTTGTTGTTCTCTCATGTTCTTGTCACCACTAGATTTAATTTATATTATACTTGCTTATTTGCTGGTTGTCTTTTACCACTTTGGGAATGTAAGTGCCCTGAGGGCAACTATTTTTGACTACCTGATGCATTTCTGTAGCCCTAGCCCCTGGAATAGTGCCTGGCATATAATAATGCTCAAGAAATATTTGATAAATGAATGAATGAATGAAGCAAGCAATCAAATATTGGTAGTTTTGTTTGAGACTTTGGTATACATTTCAAACACACTGTACATAAAGATTTTCAAATGTATTTGCCTCATGGAATGATCTTTTTGTTATCATTTCTAGATTTCCTGCCTGTGGGCATTGCATCCGTAGTAAAGAAACAAAATGACCATTCCTAAAATGAACTTGATTTTAATCTTTTCTAGCCCTGGTCAAGTTACTGTCTGCAAAACCATTAGAGGACATGTATTATTATATAAATGATCAGTTTATACCTTAGACAGGTTCTTGCCATATTTTCCTAATTGATGTGGTGAGTCTAGGGAACAATTTTTCTATAGTTGGTATGTCTGTTTTTTCCACAATTTTACATGTGATTTATTTGGAGTATTTCACAGTCAGAAAGAAACAAAGAAGGGAAGGAATAAGGCAGGCAGGCAGACTGGCTTTGCTAAAGAACCTTTAAGATGTTATCTACTTACTTTTGGCTGAGAGAACTATTTGGCTTTATTTGAACCTTACCAACACGGACATGCACACATAGAAGTGTGCACTCTCAGAAACATTCTCTGATTTTCTCTTTCCTTTAGGGCAGCATTGCTTGGATCCAGATGCTTATATATTGGATGTATATCATGTAAATCCTCAAGCAGAGTGGGTGATTAAACCCCAACCAAGTTTTTGAAATAACCCCCAAGATGGCAGCTATCATGTATTATATGCCAAGAAGATTCTACATTTGGTAGGGAAAATAACAAGACTGTTTTTGACATGTTTATTCCAATAACCCTCTTGGTGTTTCTCAGCATTGTCAACATGAACTGTGGAGGAGGACCTGGTTGACTGAGCTGAGGCATTCTCCTATGGTTCCTTGATAATGGTGAAGGAAAGATGCTGTGATTGTTCCAGAAGAAAGGCCAATCTAGCATATGGAACTCTAATCATTTCTAGTACTTTGACTTCACAGCAGAAATGAACTTCGTCTTATACCTAAAGATAAAAAAACACTCCTTTTTGTAGCAGATGCTACCAAACACAAGAGGTGGAAGAGAGTCTTTTTTATACTTATATACATACGTTGACCTTTCTGAACAATGCCAGAAATATCAATAATTTCTGCTCTGCAAAATAATTCAGATCTGCTTTTCAAAGGGAATCAGTTTCTGAAGTTACACATACAATGTTGATGCTCTGACTTGCTCCCAAATTGGAGGAGGATGAACTTCTGTTGAAAGAACACTGTATTGTTAAGTATGTCGTACTGTATTATGACTGTCCGCGTCTGGTGCAAGTGAACATTTTTCTATTGTAGATTATTGAAAATTGATATTTATAAAGCTTATTCTCTTATGAGCACAGGTTCCATAGCAAAGGTTAGGTTGACAGAGGGTGTTCTTACGCTTTCATAACCTTTTGTGTAGTTAATAGTCAACAGAACCTCTATCTTTTCATCATGATTATGGTGCTCAATGAAAAGCTTTCTCTGTGCCAGGCACAGATTTCTTTTCCTGATCAAACATATCATTTTTTAATATTTTACAACTATAGATAGTCACTTCTGTAGCCCCAATTTAAAAATATAGAATTGTCTTTATCCAGCTGCTCTTCATCCAAAAGTACTGAAAAATACTGTTATGTCCAGATTTTATATGCTGTAAAAGCAAATTATTTCTGTTCATCAATCATAGACATGGCCAAGCACTATGGATTAGCCTCAGGCTTTAAAATCAGATGCATATTTGGTAAGCTGGAAACTATCTTGCTATGAAGATCCTGCAGAGCCATTTTCCAGACCTGCAGTTGGTGAGAACACACTGTTCTCCACAATGTAATGGAGAGCAAATCTGCCATGTGCTGAGGGGTCAGATAGCTCTACCTTTTATCTTGAGATTGCAGATACAGTTCTAGGGTTAACTAGAAATGGGGACAGAAGTCTCATTTATCCTACATGTGTGCTTTGGATTAGAATCCACAGACTGATATTTCACTGAATTTATAATAATTTTAATGAGATTTAATGTCCAAATGACTCTTGCAGTTTGAACAATAAAGTTACAAATACAGAAAACATTTTACCAAAGCATTGGTAAAATGTTTTTACCAGATGTTTTTACTGATGTTTCTACTTACCAATTCTCAAAACATGATGTGATAATTTAAGCCCACATATAGAAGAAATCTTTTTTTTTCTTTTTTTTCAAGTAGGCTCCACACCCAGCATGGAGCCCAACGCAGGACTTGAACTCATGACCCTGAGATCAAGACCTGAGCCAAAATCAAGAGTCGGATACTTAACCAACTGAGCCACCTAGGTACCCCTAAAAGAAATCTTTTATATGCAGCATTATTATACCTAGATATCTCTAAAAACATTATTTATATTCAACATGTAGATAATTATGTTTCTAGCCATTAGGATTTTGTTACATTTTTTATAAAAAACTCAAATATCCATTCATTTTATTTGTTTGAGAATTTTTATTTCTTGTGCCTGAAAACCCATTAGAAGATAAACATGTATCCTGTAGGTTTTTATTTATTCCTACATTTCATCAGTTTTCAATGTTTGGTTAATTGATGGCATGTGAGTTTACATTATGCATTTCAAGAGTCTGAAAAAATGCTTTTATTGTTTTTGAAATTCAGACAACAGGAGGAAACATTTTACTTTATGCAGTTGCTAACTTCCAGGGCATAAGATGGCAGTAATTTATACTCACCCATGGAAGAAATTCTTCAAATTAGCTATCTTATATTTCTCTGTATTACATGAAAACGGGGACTGATTTTTCTCATTGTGTTTCCTATAGTTTCAAATAGTTAAATTCTGTTGTAGAAGATTTTTTTTATAGAAGATTTACAGATCTAATTTTTTATTTGAGAATTTTCCCATCTTTGGACTGAAAACACATTAGAACCTATACATAAGTTCTAAAGGTTTTAAGATCTACTCCACTTGTCATTAGTTTTAAATAAGTGGCTGACAGATGACAGGTAAACAACTGTTTCTGAATTTCTTACTCACTTCTGTGTGGTGTCAGATGTCGAAGACTTAGCTGACTCAATAGCTTTAAATTAATCACTTGAATGTATTTAAGTATGTGTGACAACTTTCAAATAACTGTAATATGGAAGGCCATGTCAATACCAATATCTTTGGATATAACTTTTATTCTTTGTCACAGGATTAACTAAGTGATTAGAGGAGAATTTCAGTAGACACACAGACTAATTTTTGTATGAGTAGAGGTTCTTTTTACTAATTTTATTCTTAAAGAACAAACAAACCCCTACAATTACAATTCAAAAATGTCTGTCAAATAATTATTGAAACTATCTTTGCTTTATCAAAAGTTATTTTAAAATAGTTACAGTAGTCTGTCAAATGAGTTGTATATTTGCAAACAAAAGAAGAGTCAGATCCTGGGCTTTCTAGATTCAGTTCTTACTTGTTTCCCACCCACCTCCTCCCAAGTGCTCTTGGTGTACAGTCAGGAAAATAATATCCAGGAAGGTATTAGAGAAAGTTAACATTTTAGTGACACTTATTCAGAAAAAACCCTAGGGCTGGCTCATTGTTTTCTCCATTTTGCAAAAGAGGATCCCTTTGTTAAGCAGCTAATTGGGGGATATGATTCTTAAAGCCAGTGATCTTCAAATAAACTGGAATATTAATTTCATTACAATGTGTACACAGTATAAACTACCTCACTTGCCTTTCTTAGGAAAAAAATTAATGGACTTCAACAGTTTTTGTTACAGACTGTCCCTGAGTCATCTTATTTAAGTCACGTCAGCTAGCTTTCAGTGTACGTTTAATAATATACACTTAATGATGTAAAATATTTTTAGTGCAAGCTTTAAAGCCAAAAATACTCTTTAACTGTGACCTGTGGTATACTCTGAGAGAATTCATGTCCCTTAGTCACTGTCTTGTGTGTTTCACCATGTTGCAATGCAGGTTTTCAGGTGTGGGAATTAATAGTCATCTCTTCTTTCAGGCATTTTTCAACTGCTTTCACCATATTGCACTTTACTGAAAAGTAACATGAGATTAAAATGTCCCTTCTTTCTTTCAAGCATATTTCAACTGTTTTTCACAAATGTTTTACATGCCTGAAAAGAATATATATTATGGGATTAAATAGTTCCTAGTTTCTGACAGGCATTTTCAGCTGTTTTCCATAAATATGTCATTTAATAAAAAATAATATGACATGGATTAAAATGTTTCTTTCAAACATTTTGAATAGTTTTACACATACACATACCTTAATTTAAAAACATCTTTTCTTTCATTTTCCAACTATTTTCTGAAACAATGTGATCTGATTAGAAATTGAATGTCACAAGAAATGCCAATGTTTTATGTTGTCTCCCATCTCAAAAGTTAATATTCTTTAGTCCCAGCTTTCATTGTTAAGTATAATATGTATGTTGCATTTTATCCATAAAAATAAAGAGAAAACAAACTAAAAGCCTTGTCACAAGAATTCTTATAATAATCCAGCTTGTCTAAGGGCAGCATGATGCTAGTGAGAGAATGAGAGCTTTAAAGTCGGAAGGTATGTGTCTGAGCCCACTCTCTGTCTCTGACCTGCCAGGTGGTGGTCTTATACAAAAGCCACATGGCACGATAGTAATGGACGGTTGTAAGTAGGGGATAGATCGAATTAACAACAACAATTTCCTAAATTGGTTTGAGTTGATGTTTGGGACAGGTTTTTAATATGTGTCTTTTTTTAAAAAAAAAAAAACTTTCTTAATAGATACAGAAAAAACATTTGACAAAAATCAATATCAGTTCATAATCTTTTTTAAAAATTCAACATTTTACTGTATATCTTGTACAAAAGGCAAGAAAGAAAAGGCATAAATATTAGAAAAGAAATAAAATGGTCTCTGTAAATGATAATGAGTATGTGGGAAAGACTAGAGTATCTTCAGCTATTAGAACTAGTAAGATAATATACCAAGATCATGGCATACAAGATGATTATATAAAATTTAATTGTATTTTTTGTATTAGCAGCAAACAATTGGAAAATAAATGTTTTAACTTCCATTTCCTATAGCATCAAAAAACATAAAATACTTATGAAAACATTTATCAAAATATATGTAAAACATGTATACTAAAAACTAAAAACTATTTTTGGTAGAAATTAGGGATTTCAAGCCTTACTATAAAGCTACAGCTTTTGAGACAAGATGATACAGAGTGCTTATCCAAAGAGACCATTAGGAAGTAAAATAAGCAAACCACAGATTAGGAAATATATGTAAAGCATATATTTGACAAAAGACTGACATTCAGGATATATAAAGAATTCACTAGTGACAAGACAAGCACATTTTTGAAATGGGCATAAGACTTGGATACTTTGAAAGAAGAGAACACAAATGGCCAATAAGCACATATAAACATGTTCAACATCATGTGCTATTAGGGAAATGCAAAATAAACCACAAGGTGATATCACTACATACCAACCGGAACAATTAACATTGAAAAGACTGACCATTCTGAGTGTGGAAGAATCAGAACTCATAATTTTTTTTTCATTTTTTAAAATTATTATGTTAATCACCATACATTACATCATTAGTTTTTGATGTAGTGTTCCATGATTCATTGTTTGCATATAACACCCAGTGCTCCATGCAGTATGTGCCCTCTTCAATACCCATCACCAGGCTAACCCATCCCCCCACCCACCTCCCCTCTAGAACCCTCAGTTTGTTTCTCAGAGTCCATAGTCTCTCATGGTTCATCTCAGAACTCATAATTGCTGATATAAAATGGTACAGCCATTTTGGAAAAGGGTCCAGCAGTTTCTAATCAGACTAATCATACAACTACCAGCTGCTGAGTACAGATAAGAGCATAAATGAATCTCAGAAACATTACACTGAGTGAAAGAAGCTAGACACAAAAGACTACATACTGTACAATTCCTTTTACATGAAATGCTAGGACAGGCAGAGCTAAACAATGATGGGGGAGAAAACCCAGAATGATGGTTGCCTCTGTGGGGGTGGGTATGGAGACTGGGTGGAAGGGGCATGGGGCCTTCCTGGGAAATTGAAACATTCTATATGTGCCATCCCATGCCAGGACCCCTGACTACATAGGCCTGTTGAGCACTTGATACGTGACTAGTCTGAGCTGAGATGTGTTCCAAGTGTAAAATACACACCAGATTTTGAAGACTTGGTAGGAAAGAATGTAAAACATCTCATTAGTAATATTTTACTATTACATGTTTGATTCTAGTATTTTAGATATTTAACTTAAAGTGATAAATTATAAATTTCAGCAGTTTTTTTTACTTAATGTAGCTACTAGAAAATTCTAAGTTACATATGTGGCTTACATTATATTTCTGTGGAACAGTATTTTATATTTTGATAAGTGTTTGGGTTATAAAGATGTATTTGTGAAAACTTAGTGAATGCTTAAGATTTCTGCATTTCATTGTATAGTAAAAGTTAAAACAAAATAATTCACAAATCACAAATATTGAACTTTAGATAATGATATGCATATTGGAGTATTTCGGGTGAAGTGTATTGGTGTCTGTAACTTATTTTGAAATGTATAAAAATAAGACAGATTGATGAATGAATAGAAGGATAGAGGGATAGATATACACCAGTCCAAGTATAGCAAAATATTTATGATATAAATGATATAAATGATGGCCATAGCAGTATTCAATGTAATATTCTCTATGCTTGAAATTTTCCATAGAATTGTGAAAAAAATTTTTAAATGTTTTTCTTTTTAAAAACATTTTTAAGATTTAATTTATTTTAGAGAGCATGTGTGCACATGAGTGGGGGAAGGGGCAGAGAGAGAAGGAAAGAGAGAGAATCCTGAAGCAGACTCCCCACTGAGCAGGGAGCCCAATGTGGGGCTCAGTCCCAGGGTCCTGGGATCATGACCTGAGCTGAAATCAAGAGCCGGCTGCTTAACTGACTGAGCCACCCAGGTGCTTCTGAAAAAAGAATTCTTAACATAAAAACATAAAAGCAGATTAAAGAGAATCAGGAGTTTGGGCAATGCTGGGGTTCCCCTTAGATGTTTCTTTTTATCTTCCCCACAGTAAATTCCACTTTCTCCAGATATCTTCAGACAGAAGTTGAGTGGGGGTAAGAAGCAAAGAGAATGGAGAGGTATGCTTGTGAAATTTTACCTGAGCTATGTCAACTAGCAAGCATGTGTGTATTCTTACAGTTTGTTTATGAGTTCTAACTAACAGTAATTCATTCTGAGTGTTTGCTTTGCAGCCTCTCCACATTCTTCCTCACTGCGAACCATTGTTGGAGTGTAGCTTGTGTCCTTAGATGACAGGGGCTTCTCTCCCATCAGTGACCCCCCCCTCACTACATCTCACTCCCTCCAACCCAATGACATAACAATCTGGACATGTAAGTACCAAAATCAGTAAGAATATATCCATCACTAATGATCAGTGAATACACCAATCTAATAATCTATTGCCCAGCAGGGTTGTGGAAGCTATTTTCTAGTTTCATAAATCTTCCAATGCTGCAAAAACTTATTTTAAAGGAGTGACTTATCAATTCAAACAACAGATGTTTTGGAAAGAATTGCAAAGTGATCCAGTTCTAATAAGCAATCCAGAGTTATTCTGTTCTCAATTATTTATTATCAGTTGTATAATCTCTAAGCCTACAACTCTTTTTTATTTTTATTTTTTGAAGATTTATTTATTTATTTGACAGAGAGAGACACAGCAAGAGAGGGAACACAAGCAGGGGGAGCAGGAGAGGGAGAAGCAGGCTTCCCACGGAGCAGGGAGCCCAATACCTGGCTCAATCCCAGGACCCTGGGATCATGACCTGAGCCGAAAGCAGACAACAATGCCATAGTTCAAGAAGTATTATATAGCAGTGCAGTTAACACAAAATATACCGAACATAAAAATTTAACATCCTCCATGTCAGTTAAGCAAGTTATCACTGCATGCCATTTTGCACATAGTTATAAGCAAAAGGTTCACAAAAAAAATCTCAGGATGCCTATGTGCCATTAGCAAACTCTGTTTGAAGGAGTGTAAGAATTTACAAATTTCAGAAGTTCACTTGATAACAGCAACAAATAACAGTAACTTGTTCATCTTTTGGACACCGTGTAAAATTATTATGCAAAGATGTTAAAGAGGTCTCCACAGAGCAAGACAGTCCCAGGTGTTTCTCTGAGGTTGAGGGTCTCCCTCCACAATTCAAACAGAGGGATGAGTCTGAGGAATTATTTTCTTTGGTCTTTCTGTACCCACTAGAGCCAGAACCACATATCAATACACTGCATCGCCCATTACGTGGAGGAAAGGGTTACAAAACTCACAGTTTAAAGCATAGGTATGCATCATAAAATCTACCTTTTACTAAAAGCAGTACTCCCCAGCAGTATAGCTAACATGTTCTCTTACCAGGTTCCTAGAAGAAAAGAGCAAGAAAGTTAATTTAAAGCCAGGTTTCCAGGGTTGCCTCGCTGGCTCAGTCTGTTAAGAATCTGCCTTCGGCTCAGGTCATGGTCATGGGGTCCTGACATCAAACCCCATGTTGGGGTCCCTGCCCAGTGAGGCCTGCTTCCCCCTCTCCCTCTGTCTCTCCCTCTTCAGCTCATGCTCTCTCCCCCCGCCCAAATAAATAAATAAATAAATAAATAAATAAATAAATATCTTTAAAGATCAGATTTCCATAGAAAAACAGAAAAGGTCATGTCAACCCCTTTTTTTTTTTTACAGTCCTTCCATCCATAGCATATGTTTAACACACTTAACATACAAATATACAAAGTAATACATATGTGATCATTAGCATTTGACTTTTTCCAGAGACAGTAATCTTCCTTTCATCTCTTGACCAATCCATTTAGTATATGTCCAATTAATCTTAATGGGGCTCCAGTTACCTTTATTCTGGAGATTATGGACATGTTTACTTCAAATAATAGTACATGATAGTTTAACACATCAAATCATGGTGCTGCATAATTTTTATCCAGCTTAGCAAAAATATCCCCATTTAAACATTCCATACTTGGCATGTCTCAAAGTGAATTTTTATTTTTATTTTTATTTTTTTATTTATTTATAAGATTTTATTTGTTTGACAGAGAGAGACACAGTGAGAGAGGGAACACAAGCAGGGGCAGAGGGAGAGGGAGAAGCAGGCTTCCCGCTGAGCAGGGAGCCCGATGTGGGGCTCGATCCCAGGACCCTGGGATCATGACCTGAGCCGAAGGCAAACGCTCAACGACTGAGCCACCCAGGTGCTCCTCAAAGTGAATTTTTAAATCTTTATGCCAAAATCCATTCTAACCATATGTTGGTTTTTTAAAATCTCAATTTAGAGCAAATTTTTTTTTAGTTCCTCAAGTCAAAACTCTTGTTGGAGTCCCTTGGATCCTTTCTTGTCACAGCCCACATCAACCCATTGGTAAACCATGGGGGTGACCAAGTTTAAAAGCACAGTCATATCCTAGTCATAAAAGAACATAGGTAGGCCCAGGTCCTTCTGGTTTGAACTTGTAAACATTTATATTCTGTAACTTTTACCTCTAAAAAGAGTGTGTCATTATCTTAGAGAATGTTCAGCTTTCTGGGTATCTGTCACTAGACAGCAGCAGAGGATTTGGGTTCTATTCCAGTATTGGTTGGTGCAGGCTGAGCTGCAGAGTGGTTGATGTTGTGTTGCTGTTGTCCTCTTGTGTTGGAACTCCAGCAGACAAATTTCTTCAGATCATCCCCTTACACAGGGATTGGGGGATGAAAGGCCTTTGTTCACAGCTGTGGTAGAAGTCAGGCACCCGGTGGCCCCACACCCAGGAGCACATTGTGGGGCCATGGGGTGACTGGGAGGACAGGTGGACAGGGAGCACTTCGTGGTGCTCCTTCCCCTGCTGCTGGAGTGCCTGTGCCCTAGGTAGGCATATGATACTCCATCTGCTTTTTTGGCCTTCCCTGGGGTGGGCAGAGGGCTCTGGGCCCTCCAGTGGGGATGGGAGCCCGAATGGGGCATGCACCATCTCTGGTGCTCACTGCTAGATTCAAGTCCCAAACATGGGGACTGCACATTTCTAGAAGTGCTACATCTGGCCCTTGCAGCTCAAGGGGCCTCCTTGTCTGTGTCTGCCTCTTTCAAGGTGAGCACACTAGGCTGTCTCTTTTTGAGTCTCTTTCCCACACCCTACACAAATACGGCTTCATTCCAAATGGTTCATTTATTTCCTTGGATGTAGCTCCTGGCCTTTGGCTCAGAGAATGATACTGAAAACCAAAGAAATATGCTTTCCCTACCCTTTCTCTTTTTTGGTGCATCAGGTTAATCCGTTTGGAAGAGTAATGCCTTTGTCCTCCTATGGTACAGTTTTTTGCCCTGTTCCAGTGAGGCATTTTTTTCTCTTCCATGGCTAATGAAGCCATCATTCCTAGGCACCCAGTTAATTGCTTCAAGGGCACATTTAGATTATGGATTCCCATGGTTCTTAACTAGGAGTGCATGCTGTCCTCTTCTGGCCATCCCAGAATGTTCTTATCCTGAGCCCAGCTGCAATCTCTACTAGATCAATTTGGAATCCTGTCAGCTGTGCCAGGTGACACAGGGCATTATCTCAATTCCAAAGATCTCTGCAAAATGCAGTTCAACAGCAAAAAGCAAACATGCAGATTGAAAAGAATCAGGAATTCCAGGGATGCTAGGGCCTCTCAAAAGACGTTTCTCTTAGCTTCCTAGTGGTAAATTACATGTTTTCTGACAGTCCAGACAGAAGTTGGAAAGGGGTAGAAAGGGCACTCTTTTAAAGGTTCATCAGAGTTTTATCAACTAACAATCACATGCACACCATTCAGACTGTCATTTATGAGCTTTTATGTTATAACAGGTCATTAGTAGTAGTTACTCTGCACTTTTATTACCCTTTTATCACTACACAGCAGTGGACTTTGCTGTAGTCCTGAGCTCTATGTCCTTAGAAGACAGATTGGGATCAGGTTTCTCACTTATATTGTTTTACTACAGGACAACAGACACTTAACTATAGGGAATAATTGATCAGCTGGATTCCTAAAATTTAAGATTTCTGCTCAGCAATATACTATACTATTAAGAAAATGAAAAGGCAAATCACAGATTGGGAGTAAATGTGTGTGCATGTGTATTATACCCAGAAAATGTAAAGAACTCTAACAACTCAGTAATACAAAAGACACCTTTTTTTTTTTTTTAATGGGCAAGAGATTTGAACCAGTATCCCACCAAAGCACAGAAATGGTCACTATATGTGAAAAGGTACCCATCATCAGACATCAGGGAAATGCTAATTAAACCACAGTGTGATAGTACTACATAATCACAAGAATACCCAAAATAGATCAAATTAAAAAGAGTAACAATACCAAGTGTTAGAATTCTCATTCATTGCTGGTGGGAATGTAAAATGGGAGAACCATTTGGGAAAACTAGTAGAATGGAATGAAGTTAATCAGACAACTACCCTATAACTTAGAAATTCAACTCCTATTTACCCAAGAGAAATTAAAGCATATATCCACACAAATATGTGTACAAGAATGTCCATAGCAGTTTTATTCATAATAGACAAAACCTGGAGAAGAGAGAAATGTGGGTAATTCATTCAATGGAGTAGGACTCAACAATAAAAAGGAATTTTTTTTTTTTTTTTTAAGTAGGCTCCACACCCAGTGTGGAGCCCAATACCAGGCTTGAACTTAGGACCCTGAGATCAAGACCTGAGCTGAGATCAAGAGCCGGCTGCTTAACTGACTGAGCCATCCAGGTGCCCCAAAAAGGAATTTTAAATACATGCAAAAATACGAATTTCAAAACCATGTTGTGTGAAAGAAATCAAACATAAAAAAAAAGAGTATGTACTACATGATTCCATTTATATGAAACTCAACAGCAAGAGGAAGTAATCTATGGTGGTAGGTATCTGAAAAGTGGTTGTCTCTTATAGAAGGGGCTGACTGGAAATAGGCACGAGATAATTTTGTTGGGTCCTCCATGATCAGGCTTGACCTACCTTCTACTCTTTCTCTCCCATTACACCAGCGTCCCTGTTTCAACTAGGGAACTTAGATCTCTCATGTCCCCATACCACCACCCCATCCCCAACAATCCCATTACTACAATGAAAGCACTGTCAGCTGGGCTGTTCCAGGTACTCCTACCATACATCCTGCAAAGCTTAGGTACAGCTACCTTTTTAGAGCCTTCCCATTCCTTTCTATCCCACTGTAATATATTTTATCCCTTGACTTCATAGTGTTTTAAGGTGCATGTATGCCTTTTGGTCCTAGCAATTTTAATGGAGCATTTTCTCCATTTTCATCTCACCTTACAGTTCAAGTGCTAAGTTAGCACTTAACTGGTAAATATTTGTTGAGAAATACTCAACATTCAGTCACATATCATTCCTAAATACCAGAAATGTTCAAAGATAGACCAAATGGAACATTAATATCTTATCATAGAAGACCTATTTGTTGGGCCTT